ATTCCCTGCTGACACAGTCAAAGGCCTTTTCAGCGTCTATGCCAATACAGTATTTCTTTTATTTTCCTTTGCTTGATTTACCATGTATAATGTTCTCCTAATGTTGTTGTGTGTTTGGCGTTCTTGTATAAAACCAGTTTGATCTTCATCAATTATTTCAGGTATAAATGAACTCAGTCTTTTAGAAATTATTGTTGTATATATTTTATAGTCTACATTTAGCAACGAGATTCGCCTATAACTTGCACAGATTTCTTTGTCTTTCCCTGGTTTTGGCATTACAATAATTATTGCCTCTCTCCAGGATGGGTGTATTTTATTATTTTGTACTGTCAAATTAAAGGAGGCCAGAAGTAGTGGCGAAAGTTCTTCTATGAACATTTTGTACCACTCTGCAGGGTAGCTGTCACTTCCTGGGGATTTGTTATTTTTTAGTTTGTTTATTGCATCTTTAACCTCCTGAATTGTAATTTTAGCTATCAATTTGTCATTTTGCACAGATCTGATTGAAGGTAGGTCCAATGACTCCAAAAATTTCCATTTCTTCATTTTGTCTTTATTTGCTGCTACAGGTTGAATATACAATTACTCGCAATATCTCTGAAATATTTTTCCGATACCATCTGGGGTAGATCATCTCTTTTGTATGGGGATCCCTGATTTTATGTATGCTATTACAATTTGTTTTTTACATAGATGTTTTGCCAGAATTTTAGTAGCTCTTGCTCCCACCTCATGATAAAGTAGAGATTCTTTTTTTCAATTTCATCCAGCAGTAAATTATTTATTATTGCTTTAGTTTCCTTAATTTGCTGTTGTACCTTTGGTTTTTGGTGTTCCAATTCCAGTTTTCTCAGCTTGTCATTTTGTATTTTATTAGGTCTCTAATCCAACTATTTTTGCATATGCTGTTTCAGCTAACAACTTTCCTCTAATAACAGCCTTCATAGCAGACTAGAATATTGTTGGATCGGCTGTACCCTCCTTTTCTTTTATATATCTTTTTATTTCTGTTTTTATATTCTCCTTTCTTGATTGTTGTTCAGTATCCCCAATTTCAGGAGCGGATGGGAGACTCATGGATAAGGTTATGAGAAGGAGGTTCATGGGGATTCATGGGGTGAGGCACTTGAAAGTGTCTATTTTAAAGCATGATTTCTTTCTTTGCACTCTCTCATTCCACGTGATTGTTAAACTGTCTTCAATGTAGACAGAGACACTGATGTTCCAACAGATTTTCTTTAATGAAAGGTTTGAGTCTTTAAATTTCCTGAACATCTTAGTTAATTTTCGTTCATTTGTGGCCGTCAGTATACAGTTTGTGTCAGATGATTGAATATTCAACACAACTGGGTGTTCCGACAGGATAAAGAACCTAATCACACATCAAAAGTGGTTATAGAATGAATAGTCTATCCTTACTGTGATAGTAAGTTTCTAGAGGGTCTCCCCAAAGCCCTGACCTCAACTTTGTTAACAATGTTTGGGCTGTGCTTAAAAGCAGCTCCATGCCAGGAAACAACCAATTCAGAAAACCTCCTTCAATATGCCAAGTAACAATGTTAAAATATTGTGCACCGAAAGTGAGAAGCCTTTGTGTGATTTTAACAAATTTAGATGAGAATGAATGTGAGGGTGTCGTTATTTATTCATCATCACAAATTACAATTTATTAGAAATTTAAGAGAATTTGAAAAGGTCTTTTTTTCAGCTTTTATTGTTGATATGCATTATTCGAGTTTGTCAGTATTTTTAAAAATCCACATGTCCCGATATGTTAAAAAAAAAAACAAAGTCACCCTAACTGTATATACTATTTTTAGATTGTCATTGTTATGTTGACCCGGAGTGGATTAGAGAAAACCCACAACAAAATGAAAAGTGTGCATGTATGTTTCTAAGGTACTGCAGTTGCATAGTGTATCATTATTCCAGAATGGAAAAAAACAATGGTTAAGGTGCATCATTAAAAGCACATGCCGATTATGGCATGTATACACATAGTGGGGGTATGTCAACTTCTGAGTGGAACTGTAGATATTGTCTGAGTTAAGTTATTTAGACAAAATGCAGACATATGTGAGGAGACAGAGCTGCTGCTTCTGTTTTTGTTTATCAAGGCAGTAACTTAAAAGCTAAAGATCTCATGTATTATGAGGATTCAACAGTCTTTGACTAGAAAATTTATTGAAAGTAGCATGTCTTTAGAACAAAGTAACCAACTTGAATAATACTTTAAAAGCCTAAATCAATCCAACATTATTCACGCATGACCTTAGCAAATTAAATAAGCAAGAGAAGATCCAATTCAAAGCATTCTTCTGGTTAGTTTAGTGAGCCAATTTCATTCTGAATAGTGAAAGTATCTTTGACAGCATCGATTATGCCGACTTTAATATATGCATCCAAAAAGTTCTAATACTATGTTCAAACCCACTCTGAAGGGGACAAGCCTGACCAAGATAAAGTCATTTTTTCTGTTCTTTTTGTTCTTCTTCCACCTTGCTGAGTACAGCACAATGTTTTGAAAAAGCAAGACTTTCTGAAAGCCTAATGAGGCAGGAAAATTGAAGATGTATTTCTTTTATTCTAACGTGGCTGTCTTGGTATTGTGTATAATATGTGAAGCAGGTATAATTTTTTTAGGTGCACTGGACTATGATTAATCCCCATTTGTCAGTCAAGTGGACACAGAGACAGTTAATCTTTGCAGTCTGTCCTGTCTGTCAGCTACAATAGGATGGATCGCATTCATATTTTGAAGAGTGGAAGAATTTCACTCCTCAGAGATTGATAAGATGAACTCATGAGGTCATCATTAATCTAACAGTGAACAACCAATGAAAAGTTGATGTAAAATCTATCAAACAGTGCTCACATATGGCACTCTTTGTAAAATCTTTAACATCATCAAAAGTTAGAACAGGTTTTGTGATGTAAAAAATGACAATGTTGTACATTACAACTAATAAGAACAAATTATTTAGGAAAAGACATCTGATAGAACCCTAAAAGCAAAAGCGTGCACACCCTTAACCCTCCCGCGGTCCCAACTCAGCGCTTGTACAGAGCGAGACAGATGTCACAGGTAGCGCGAGTCAGTTCCCCAAAACCTAGACATCGAGACATAAAAATAAATAAGTAAAATTAAGAAATAAATAAATAAATTAAACATACCCGGGGTCCACCTAACCCCTCTGGGAAGGGGGGTAAGAAAAAATATATAAATAAATAAATAAGTACAATGAAAAGCATAGCCGGGTCCTCTGGGACAGCGGGGAGGGGTGAGAAAGAAAAAAAAAAGATAGCCAGGGTCCACCCAACCCCTCTGGGACAGAGGGGAGAAGTAAAAATAAATAAATAAAATTAAAAGCATAGCCGGGGTCCACTAGACCCCTCTGGGCAGCGGTGAAGGGTGAGAAATAAACAAAATTAAAAGCATAGCCGGGTCCACCCAATCCTGTGGGACAGAGGGGAGAAGTAAAAATAGATAAATAATTCTTTACTAAATAGATAAATATCTACACCACCTAAACTTCCAGAGTGTGACGGGGTATAAAACACCGTCCATATCAGACTGCTTTCCACTGGGTTGATGCGCTCACAGATTGTTCTAGAACTGTCGCTCCCCATGCTGTCCTCCATGAAGAGGTAGCTGGATGAGCAGCCACACTCCGACAAATATCACTCTGCTTGCAAGCAGCTTCCTTGTGGCTTGGCTGTTGGTGGCATGGACGACCGCCAAGTACCTGTCCAAGCTGATGAACGCCAGGATCAGGATGCTGCTGTACAGGTTCACTGTGTAGATCATTTGATCAGGCCAGCCTAACTATAGGTTACTGACTCATTGAACCACTTGAACTTACCTAAGAATTTCTCTTTGTTACCTTAGACCTTGTTCCAGTTCCCTAGCCCTGAAGATCAGTTCCAAGCTTCGTGGATCCTAGAAGGAACCCTTCGTGTGGAAAGTGCATTGGATCACATACTGTACACTATATTGCCAAAAGTATTTGTCCCTCTACTTTCACATGTACATGAACTTTGATGACATCCTTTTCTTAATCTATACAGTTCAGTTTGTTGATGGAACCACTGTTGCTAGCAATAGCAACTTTAACTATTCTGCAAACATCTTTCGCAAGATTTAGGAGTGTGTTCATGTTAGATTAGAAAAGCAGAATTGCAGACTCCACTCTAATTAATCCCAAAGGTGTTCAAGGGGCTTGAGGTAAGGACGCTGGGCACGCCAGTCAAGTTTCTCCACACCAAACTTAGACATCCGCTGAACATTTTCTGAACACACCAGAGCTTCTGATATTCTAATATCATTTCTGCATTGCGCCTCATGATTATATGCTATAGTTGATACACTGAACTTTAAGAGTTCTTGAGGTCAAGTGTGAGCAATTGCTCTACCCATTCAAAAGATGGAGCACTTGGGTATGTGCCACTTATTAGTAGTTGAGCCACCTGACCGATATGTAAGGTGTTTTGGTCACAGATATTTAGGCTGTGAATGGCTGTGAAACTGACTTGGAAGGAGAGCCCAGATTGCACTGTAGATGCTACCTAGACCGTATCTAAAGCCACTTGGTCCGTTTTAACGTAGGTTTTTGCAGTTGTCAGTGCAAACTCTTTGCTTTCCTTGTCTTGTTCTCAAGAGTGCAAGTTATTCTTGACATGTTGCCAGAACACTGAGTGTTCGTTTGGACAGATGGCTTTTCTGGGTAATGCTATGTACATCTGAGTAGGCTGTCATATTTGTCATGTACATGTTTAAAATAACCTGGCTGCATGACAACTAAACAAATATGCCACTCAGCTTTGCCATTGAAACACGCCTGTTTTTCAATGTCGTTTGGGCGTCTGTGTACCGTGTTCTCATTGACTGCTTCCTGTAGGTGTTGTGCCCCAGTGGCCTAATGGATAAGGCACTGGCATCCTAAGCAAGGGATTGTGGGTGTGTCCCATCTGATGTGGGAGCAGAATGACACAGTGGGAGCAGGGTGGTGCAGTGGAGGTGTGCTGGGCCCATAACTCAGAGGTCAATGAATCAAAACCATCCTCTGCTATGCCTTGTTTGCTTAAAAAGATCTCAGTGCTTTGAATTGAACACTGTTCAAATGACAGAGCTCAGAGACTAGTCATGCCCTTCCCTGCTGAGGAAGTGGTTCTGGTGTGCATTGACAGCATCTCCTTGCTTTTACCCTTGGTAGAGCGTTTGCACTCGTCGGTCCACTGGTCCACGCATCACCGCTCCTACTCATCTTGTCTTTGTGCTTTTTGCCAAGGAAGAAATCTTTCCGTGCTTTGTGGAAACATAAAATGCTTACAACTGCCGGATTTTTCACAGGACCTTAAGATGGTCAATTACTCTTAAGACTTAAAAAGTTCCTTTTAACAGTACTTTGTGGTTTAAATCTCAAATTCTCCCATGTAAATATCTTACTTCATTTGATGTTTGTGTAATTGTGAAACTGACTTGGAAGAAGAGCCCAGACTGTACTGCAGATGCTACCTAGATCATATCCAATGCCACCTGGCCCGTTTTAATGTAGGTATTTGCAGTTGTCAGTACAAATTCTTTGCTTTTCTTGTTTTCTCCTCAAGAGTGCCATTTATTCTTGACATGTTGATGGACAACCGAGTGTTGATCTGGACAGCTGGCTTTTTTGGGTCATACCATATATATCTGGGTAGGCTCTTAAATTTTTTTCATGTACATGCAGGGGAGCCTTTTGAACATTTTTCAACGTAACACACCAGAGCTTCTAATATTCTAATATCATTTCTGCATTAAGCCTCATGAATATATGCTATAGTTGATACACTGAACTTTAAGAGTTGTTGAGGTCAAGTGTGAGCAATTGATCTACCCATTCAGAAAATGGAGCACTTGGATATGTGCCACTTCTTAGTAGTTGAGCCACCTGACCGATATGTATGGTGTTTTGGTCGCAGATATTTAGGCTGTGAATGGCTGCGAAACTGACTTGGAAGGAGAGCCCAGATTGCACTATAGATGCTACCTAGACCCTATCTAAAGCCACCTGGCCCGTTTTAATGTAGGTATTTGCAGTTGTCAGTACAAATTCTTTGCTTTTTCTTGTTTTCTCCTCAAGAGTGCCATTTATTCTTGACATGTTGCCAGAACACTGAGTGTTCGTTTGGACAGATGGCTTTTCTGGGTAATGCTATGTACATCTGAGTAGGCTGTCATATTTGTCCTCGTGTTTTATTTACAATAATTGTCTCGGTTCTTAATCCTCCACAAACTGTTTGCATTAATGCTCCCTCTGTTCTTTGTGAAAACTTTCTTCACTTTTTCATAGATAAAATCAGAACTATTAGAGACCATATTTTACCTTCTGCCCATGATCCTTCTATTTATGTTCCTGCTTGTGCTGTTTTTGTCAGGTTTGAACATGTGACTCTGTCTTCTCTTCACCAGATTATCTTTCACCTGAAGCCTTCAGGTTCTCCCAATGATGCTGTCCCTCCTCGACTTTTTAAAGAGGTTTTCCCCACCATAGGACAATTTTGTCTTGAACTTATTAATAGTAGTCTGTCGTCTGGTGTGGTTCCTGATCATTTTAAACATGCAGTGGTGCAACCTCTTATTAAAAAACCTGGACTAGACACCACTAATTTAGCAAACTTTAGGCCAATTTCCAAGCTTTCTTTTATTTCCAAAGTCCTTGAGAAAATTGTGTAGTCAATTACTTAGTTTTCTTGAAGAGCATAATATCCTCAAGGTTTTTCAATCTGGTTTTAAAACTTTCCACAGCACTGAATCAGCTCTTTTAAAAGTGTTTAATGATATTCTTTTAGCAACTGACTCTGGTGATTGTGTCATCCTTGTGCTTTTGGACCTAACAGCTGCTTTTGACACTGTAGACCATGACATTCTGTTATCTCGTTTGGACCAGTGGGTGGGAATCAAAGGTGTTGCCTTAAATTGGTTCAGATCCTATCTGACCAACCGAACATTCTGTGTTAGTCTTGAGGGGTCAGTGTCCTCCTCTTCTCCTCTTTTTTGTGGAGTCCCTCAAGGCTCAATTTTAGGCCCGCTTCTGTTTTCCCTCTATTTGCTCCCACTTGGTTCTATTCTCAGAAAGCATGGTATATCATTTCATTGTTACGCAGATGACAGCCAGATCTATGTCCCTCTTAAAAAGTCAAATTCGTTTGCGATAGACTCACTTCTTA